ATTTTGGCATTTGGTGGCGCACTTCAGCGAGAGTCGGAAATCCGGAAACAGTCGACCGTTTCAGGATAGGTGGGCATGGCTACAGCACGAGATATATCTTAAATTTACTTGGATAGGAGTAACCATTTTGACAAAAACAATCAATAACTGCCCACTTCAGTAGGACACGGATCTAAAATAGTTAACGTGAGAGTGGGCATTGCACAGGCACTTTAAGGTCTATGGTTGGGGTGAATATGAATTAAATACTTAGTATCCATATGATCTTTTGAAAAATCAGCAAAACAGTTCAAAACCACGATTATGGTGAATTGGCAATTTTTTCAACAAAGACAACGGCTGCGGTCAGTCATGAGTTTGCTGTGTCATGAAGTCAACATTTTACAATGTTGAACACTACTTTTAGTTCTTGACATTGTGAAATTATTTCGATTTTTGGGAGAGAAAAAAAAACTGGAAAAAAAAAAAGATTTTGACAAGATAATTCAGAAATTTATATTAAGAATAATTCATTGCACCCATAAATTATTTTCATAATTACTGATTACACACGAATATTACAGAAAAAAAGATAATTTGCTATATCCTTGTTTGTACGTCATGTTCACGAAATTATTTGTAAGGGGTGCCCTTTGAAATGGCAAATTTTCTCGATGTTTTAGCGAGTACTCCGCCGGGTATATACAGGTAGCGAATTCTCGCACTAGCATAATTTTGCTCGAGTTCACACGTCGATTTCCCACATGCACAATGCGTTTTAAAATAGCATAATTAAGTTTGCGTGAGTGGCTGGTGAGACTGTTTCACAAAACGTTCCATTTATTTCCAACGTGCGTGGCCGGCGCGTTTATTTTGTACATTTCTTACTTTATTTATTAAATTATTACTTTATTTTGCACTTTTAAAATGAGGGATTGTACGTCGAGCTCCCCAATGAAGCCGCGAAAGGTGCGTTCCTAGATTCTGCTGAGTCAGACCATGGAGTGCCTCCTTTTTGGCAAATATTTCTCTTTGATAGGGCAATTTTCGTCGACAACATCAGATTGAAATTTGCCGCCATGTTTGAACAAGTGCCCCGGAAGTACTATTGAATAGCCAATTAGAAGAATCCATGTCCCAACCAATCAGATTTCATATTTTATTAATGGCGTATTCCCATTACCTGCCTCTTTGAGCTTGCACGTAGAGGCAGGGACCAGCCAATTCACCCTTCTTGAGTGTGTGAGGGCGCTGTTCACCTTTGAGTCTTATTTATATTTTCTTTAAATATTCTTATTTCTACCTTTGAGATGTATTGTAAATTCTTTACTTTTATTATTAATTTCTGTAGAGGATATGTAATGTATTATTTCATGTATTTTGTAATTTTGAGAAACACTTCTTTTGCCGAGGTCATGTGACATGACAGACTCCATCTTGTAAACTTCTGTTT